GTTGCTGCTAGCATACATAACACCTGACGTGGAAACGTTACTCGTGGACGGGGCTACAGAGCTACTAGAAAGACAGTCGAACCCGGTGCATTCCTCCGTCTGAATGTGGAGCACTTTTGCTAAATGTTTAGACAAATTGCTCGTGTTACCGCCCTTACATGCTAAACGCTTATTGCACTTTTGGTAACGAGTATTGTCCACATCGACACGGCTATAGTTTAACCACACCTCGGAGCGCGTTCTTTCCGCCATCTCCTCCGTGTGTGTGTGTGTGTTGCTGCATGTTGCAGCTGCGTGTGTGTAAACTGCCCCGCCCCCTCGCACACAGACGGGGGAGAGATCTCTTAAACGGAGTTGGCGACACTTAAACTGCAATGTAATGTTTGTGTAGCAATAATACATACAACATATATCGGGGGCACAGGTTGTTTATCCTTGACAGTCGCACAGTGGGCACACACTGAGTGTTTTTCATATTCAGCAAATGTGTACACGCTAAACTGCAGACCTCAAGAAGAAATAATACTTTCATTCACTCACGGCAAAAGTTACTTTACTTACTATAAAAACTCACGGTAAAAAAAATGCACTCCCTATTCCATTGTCATGAAGGTGGAATCTAACTATATCCAGAATAAGTTTTATTGGATCCAGGCTAGAAACATGTTATTTCTGCTGTAAAGTTGGGCATTTTAACATGGGGGTCTATGGGAATTGCTCCTTTTTCGCATCCATCCCCTGTCGGCCACTAGATGAACTGCAGTTTGTGGCACTTCCTTCTGGGCTTCCCGGCTCTGCGCTATGAAGCGCTGATTGGCTGTGGGTGGGCCAGACGTGCATGTGGGTGGGCCCAGGCCCACCCGGGCCCACCCACAGCTACGCCGCTGGTCTAAACTAATCATTTCAAAAAGTGGGGGGGACTTGTCCCACCCTCATATAATGGCTGCGACGCCCATGCATGAATGCCATAAAAACTAATAATCGAGCATCCCTCACTGACCAGCATCTGCATCACTGTATGCGTATTGCCATGACAACGTATACTCCCGACTTCCCTGCTCTTGCTAAATCGAAGAAATGCCATTTCTCTCATTAGATGGCACATATCTGCCAAGTTGGTTGCATACTATATCACATATCACATACATATCACTATGTTAATCAAAAAAGGTTTGAGTTTTAAAAGGCTGTGTGTTGTGGTTTGATAATTAATACAAGTCTTTTGATAATTGTTTTTGCTTTTAATTAAGCAATTGATGTGGTATGGCGCACTTGTCTTTATTGTTATTATACCATAATATGCACTGTTGTTTGTGTATGGCCCTAAATTGCTATTTTGTGTGAATTATTAGATAATTTAATCTAAATCTAATGATGTTGATGGTTATATTAGCTTCACATGTACTGAGTTCTGAACTTGCCATTTATAAAGGCCTTGGGGCTATGTTTGATTTAATTAAACAAAAATATATGCACTCCACTATGCTGGTAGTCATTTCATTTCAAACCTTTATTTATGCAGGTGAATCCCATTGAGATCATTGATCTCTTTTCCAAGGGTGACCTGCTGTAGTATTTACTGTATCTGAAGCTCTTAATATGATTGCTCATATTTCAAGCCATTTTTTTCCCGGCCCCTTGCTTTGGATCATTTTCATCAACCGGGGCCCCCATTCCAAACTAATTGAATAGCCCTGGTCTATGGTTTTACCTCATAATAGTTATGCTTGAACTTGAAGACACTAACACCATCATCAGACAATTTAAAAGGACTGACATTCAAAATGACTGTACAAATATTGTACTTTTACACTCACGTGGAAGGTGTTGTCATTTCATACGTGACGTCTCTTTCTTGTTCTTCGACGTTCACCTCACATTGATTGTCCCACAGCGCTCGGAGAAGAGCAGTGGCCTAAACACATTTCAAATTCTCACACAGAAGGATGGCGGATTACAAGCAAAACAGAAGGGCTTGCACCGACGACGGAGGTGATATTTGAGCTATTTTAACGTCTAAATGTGGTTGAGAAGTAGTCAGTTATTTCCATTAGCTTGCTTTGCTGCTTACAGAATGAGACGTGCCCCAGCTAATGTCAGACAGAGTGAACGTGTGTGCAACTTCAAGCTAACTCGATGTTAGCTACGTATCATTGACTAGCAGCTAATGCGTAGTAACAATTCGCGTTGTATTAACATATACAATGGAAATGTCGCTGGCTATATATTAACTATCGGGCTAACGTGATAACTAAAGTTAATTGCAGACAGGTCTCGCGTAGTAGCCTGGCGTAAGCATGGCTATTTTGCAAAACGCTATAACTTCAAGTAGTTAGCGCAGGTAAACACCATGCTAGGGGTCCATGTATGTCTCACAGCGTCCTATGTTGTCCAGCTCAATAGTGTTTTAATATAACTTTAAGGAGACATCTCAAAAGGGTGTTAGTTTTTCTCCCCAGGTCATATTCAGTGTATGTTTCCCTGGATCAGTACAATGAAATCCCCCTTCCTATCGTTACAGTTTAATATCCTACTGATGTTGTCTCCAATAAAACCTACGCACTCAAATTAGCGGCCGTTCTTGACTTTAGAATTTGATAACCCCATATTGGCTGAACAGATTTGATATTAAAACTGCATTTAAAACACACATTGAGAGACGAATATAGCCTTTATCAATTTCCTACAATGTTAATTTATATCAAGAACATAGGACCCTGAAAACATAGCATGATAACCACTATATTCTAATATCATATCACCAAGTTAATATACACCCTAATAATGTAGGTAAGTTATGCACACACCATCCTTAGTCCCCAGCTTTTAAACAAGTAAGTTAAATGCTAGAAAGATGGTAAGAATCTAAAGTTAACTGCTATAAATGTAATATTAGCCACACAGGTAAAGGTGATGGCTATTATTATTATTATTCTCCAACTCCCAGGAAGCAGTTTTCACCTTGTTGAGTTGTCTTGCCTCAAGCAGGGCCGCAGGAGGAGGGAGACAGAGTGAAAACTAAGCCTGTCTCTTGTAGCTCTGTGGGAGGAGAAGGGGCCGCAGTCAAACGCAAATCCCAGCAACTCATACCTGAAGATGAGGACGATTCCTCTGAAGACCTACCAGCTCCCCCCAAAGTCTCCAAGATAGGCTTTAGCATGAGCAGTCCCATGGCGAAGAAGTCAAACCCAATATCCATCAAACTTGGAGCAACAGTGAGTGTGTCATAAGGCAGAATAATAACTGCTTGTACAGATACTATTTGAATGTTGTCCTCATTGTAAGTGATGTTGAGGGGGAAAAAGCTACAAATCCCCATATTTCATGTGTTGATCCAGGTTTTATATTGCATTTTAAGAAGATGGATGTTTTTGTTTGCATACATCTTGTATTCCCAATCTGTTCTAGAAACCCAAAGAACCTGCACCTTCCGCTCCTCCAAAGAAGTCAGGGCTGGCTTCTGTTTTCGACGAAGATGATGTAAGTGAAGTGTTCACACACACGTAGTAATGTCCTGTTTTAAAATCCTTAAACAACAAATAGGCCGAGGCTGATTTGAACTATTTTCTTGCTATGCAGAGTGAACCTGAGGAGATGCCACCAGAAGCAAAGATGAGGATGAAGAACATTGGCAGGTATAATTCACACGTCAACATAGCCTACTTTATAATTGTTCCATTAGCTTCAGCTCTTTTCAAAACATTTAGTTTTGAATCTTTTTAAATGAAATGCTACATCTCACATTGAGTAATTGGAAGTTGCTAATCTCTTTTCTTTTTCAGAGAGACACCAACATCTGCAGGTCCCAATTCCTTCAACAAGGGCAAGCAGGGTTTCTCTGATCATAAAAAACTGTGGGAGAGGAAGATGAAGGCCCAAGCAGACCAACTGTAAATGACTACAACCTTTTTTGTCACTAATTGATGATTTTGTATAGTTTAAACCATATCGGAGATATCTATGAAATATTTCCCTGCTGCAGTGTTGACATCCTCTCAACTTTGTGGCAAGTGATAATAATACATGACGTTTACGTTTTTAACCACTACTGGCTGATGTTACCTGAGAGGAGAGGTATCAGTTTGTCAACCTTCTCTGATCCGGGGTGCAGACTGGGATGCAGTAGATATGGGAGAATACATTGGCCCGAATATGGTTTTAAATTGTGTAAAAAAATAAAATAGGTTGCTTTCTGCTAGCTTATTAAAAAAACTAGAATCTAAGAGCCCTTTTGTGACATGCATGTTCAGACCTGAAGCTGGTAAGCTAGCTCTTACGGTCACTTGTAACATATTTGTGTGACATATAAGTGTGATATTGTTTTATTTTTGAATCCATAAAATGGGATTGTGTGTTTGAGTGTGAAGTCATCATGCATGTGCGTGTGTGCACAGCATTGATTAGAGCTGCAGATGGATTGTTATTTTTCATTTAGTTTCTCAACACCATTGTATAACCCTTTGTGTTCGCCAGCTGTGCCCGACATACACAATTTGGCTGTTTTATTTTATGTTTGTTTGTGCGTTGGGCCAGTATTTCTGGGTTTGTTTACTCAATACTCAAACAAGTCTGGCAAAATGTGGCTGTGAATTTTTCTTATTTGCCCATTGAAAGGACTGATACTGTTATTTGTGTGAACACCGCCTTTAAAGGATACCAGAGTGCTGGTAATACTTATACAACATGATTTATGGGGGATTAAACTGCAAGTTAGTAATGATTAGGTACTGGTAAAAACTCTTCCTCGCCACTTTGAAATCACAAACCCCATGCTTCAGGAATATTACCCCACTCCTATTAGTTTAGATACATAGGGTACCTCAGTGACTTCTCCTGTGCCTCCTTTTGGAAAATCCCGATAATCAGAAACTCTGTATTCCTCAGTGGGTTACCCGCCTGTTATGCTCCCCCAAATGGATCACATAATTATCCACTGTTGAGACCTCTCTTGAATACATATCTATCTTAAAGTCAGTCAAATAAAAATTCTGAATGATCTGTATTGTGTCAAATGTTTATTGCTGTATGCTGAGACAACAGATGATCTACAACTGACAAGTTTACTGTTCTTAAACCTTTACAAACAGCCATATTAAAGGTAATATAAGTACAAATGTAAACATTGTTTGGGTTATACTTTGATCATGACTATCAGTACTATCAGAAATCCCTCATTTATTTAATTCTTAATGTTTAATGCCGGTGTTGTATGAAACGGTAATTATTACTTACATTACTTAACACAGTTGTGGTACAGATGGAAATTAAAGATCAGCATACACTCCTTGAGTGCAACAAATGGTGACTCACTTTTTCCCCCTCACTTGCGTTGGCCTGCAACAGGTGCTTAATCCAATAATACAAGCTGCTTTATAAAATAAATGAACTGAACATTTTAGAATGAAGTTCTTGGTCAGTCTGTTAATTGTCCCTGCATGAGGGAAACCATGTTCACTCTTTGACTGGGCATGGCCTTCCTCAGAGACCTCCAGAAGCTGCTGGTCGTCCTGGCAGTTTTGCCTGAGCTCCAGTCCAGACTGGGAAGCACCTTCAAGGCCCTTTTGACCATGCTGGCAGCGGGGGGTCCGGCTGGATGAGGGCTGCTGAGTCTCTAGTGGTCCAAATCAGCAGGAGTTTAAGGGCAGTGTTTTGCAGCAAAGCCTTAGATATGAAACAAGTAGCGAATCAGTCATGAGTTGTGGTTTGAACATTGGAAAGAAAACAGTACAAATTGTCAGCGAAGATAAACTTAACCCTCGAAATGAAACTTAAATTACATATTTCAATTTGCTCCATGATGCATCCCCTGGTTTCGGTTGATGTCAATAGATCAATTAAATGAAACCTATGTGGTTATTCGAGAATTGCTTTCAGTAAAAGAAGTGTTTCATTTCATCTTCAAATGTCCTCTTGCCTGATGAAGGTATTTATGTTAGTAGTAAAATGTTTGCGGGTTGTCAGGAAACATACTGTGCAACAACAATTGCTTATGCCGTGTTCACGTCATGTTTGATGGATGCTAGACCTGGAAGAGAGTCCCACTCAACTGAGTTGTTCGTGTGTGGATTAAAATAATGGGCATTGATAATATAAAACAATATCTATTAAATGTGTAGCGTAATTACATTAAACAGCTAAAAGTGATGCATCCACATTTGTTTTGCACTTCTGAAGTACCAAGTTGCACAGTTTACGAAAAAAAGTTATATTTCATAGAGTTGGGAAACTAAAATGGCTGTGATAACTGTAACTAACTCTCTATGAGTTATGCCGCTGAGAGGCTAAAATGTGCTCTTTGCTGTGACGCATTCCATATAAGAGTCCGAAGTCATTCATAGTCCATAGTGTTTAATACAACGAAAACAAACAATGTACAACTCCCGATCAGAGCAAATTCACCCTCTTCCTACATCATATCCTCCCAAACCGGCATCCAACAGGTGACCTAAATAACAATAAACTACACCCAAGTGACCATTGCCGGAGGAGATAAACGATAAGAATTAAACGGGATGCAAACAGAAATGAAGATAATAATACAAATAATAAGTAATGGCAAAACAAGCATTTTGGCTCTTACAATAACTCTGGTATCCCTCAACGTGGGAATAATCTTTTCCTTTCTGTGAATTGTAGGTCTACCTGAACTCCCGATTCCAGCACGAACAAAGCATTGCTGTTGGAGAGATAGTCAGCTGACAGGACACAGATCAGCATCTGACTTCTGCGTATAGCAAGGACCACATCATTTGTGTATGCTGCAATAGAAAGAAGAAACCATCAACAATACTTGAGGTCAGTACTTGCATGCAGACACACTCTCACACGCGCGCACACACACACTCACACGCGCGCACACACACTCACACACACACACACACACACACCCTCTGACCTCCTCCAGGAAGAACGTCCCTCTCCAGCAGACACAGGCGATACCCCCACTGGTCTTCCAACACTCGGGGTAGCAGCACTTCTAAGGTGGATTTACCCTCCTCAGTGTTCAGCAGGTCCATGCTGGATAAACATGCTGCCAATAGTGGTAACTGTTAATTGGATTTACCGATGTAATAAAATTCAGATATCATACACTGAATGTTTCGGCCTACCTTCCTCATGAGGTCCTTTCTGTGCGGAAAGGGTCAAAACTCCCTCCAAATCTGTTGATGGGCTCCATACAAACGACAGAAACACATCAAATTCTTTCTCATCTGATTTGTGGTGGACGACATGAAAGAAAACAAATCATTAGATTTGGAAACCTGGTTTCTGCATGTATTTTCATTTGAGTACATTCACTGGAATGAAGATGGGGATTTCAAAGTATGTTTCAGTACCTTTAATATCTCATGTTTATGAAGTTAAAGCCATAAAATGCAAAGACATCCGCAATATGGACTCACTCTCAACCTTTAATCCTGCCTGAAAACCCACCTTTTTAAACTGGCGTATTCAATATCTTAATTCTTCTAAACTGATTGTTGTTTTTAAGTCTTTGTTTTTTAAGTCTTGAATTACTGTTTGATCTTCTTTGTTGCTTGTTTTTAATTGTGCTCTGTAAGGTGACCTTGAGAGCTTTGAAAGGCGCCCATAAATAAAATGCATTATTATTATTAAAGAACATATTCACTTTGTGGTTGAGCTAGAAGTAAACCCATATGTAGAGGTGCTTTGAGTGTGTGTGTGTGTGTGAGCATGTCTGATGCGTGTGTGTGTGTGTGTGTGTCTGCATTCTGACCCTTGTCATGTTTTCCGTGTTGTACACGAGATCTGTAGATAAGCTGTATTTCCAGCCATTTCATGTGCAAGATGATTCCTAGTCCAGATATCAGCAACAAAGATGCAAATGGATACCCAACCAGCGATGGAAAATGTACTGAAAACCCAGTCAAAAATGTGCACATGCCTTCAGAGAAGCAATATTGAACTTGGGTCACTGACAACTAGCACAGAAGAACATGTTATCACTGTTTGAAGTTAGTTTGAATAAACTTGTTATCGTCAAAGAGGATCCAAGTTGGGTTTGATAAACTTGTTATTAAACCAACTTGGATCCTGTTTGATGAGCTTTCAAGGTTTCAACCACTTGGTGTTGTGTTTAGTGTGAGGTCGTTTTTCTTCTGATCTTTTGATAGAAATAGCTGTTCCTGCGAGATGGAATCAGTGGTCTATTTATATCAAGCATAGTCAAAGTGATCCTTTGTAAATATAAACATATTGGGCATATTTGAAACATTGCCTAATGGATCTTAATATGAAATTAAATTGCTTTATGGGTTTGGTTAGATTTTTCACAAGTTGAACATTGTTCAGTTCCAGAAATCATGTGTATCTGAGATTGACGTTACAATGTTATGACAAAATGTAGTATGAATAAAACACAATAGAAAAATAAAACGACAATAATCAAAAATACCTTTAATTTTCTTCTTGAGCTTGATGGTGCCAGTGCTGTTTCCAACACTATTTTTGGCGATGCAGGTATATGTTGTGGTTCAAGTGTTGTAGAGTCACCTTTTCTATGATAGCGTCTCTTGAGACTTTGGTCTGTGTAGAGTCCCACTTCCTTCTTCCTGCGTCACAGAAATCCTTTTAGTTTCCTTGCATCATAATGAACACTAATCATGCAAATCAAACCGAGTCATTCTTTTTTACAATGTTACAGAATTATACATACAAAACCCCTTGTGCTGCATAATTTAAAAAACATTGAAAAGGGGACTGCAGTGACTGACTTTTCCTCCTCCATGGGTAGTAGAGTCATATTCTCCAGGTTGCCACCCGTAATTCATGTACCATCCCACTGATAAGGTTTTCTCAGTTATAAAACTCGCCTCACACACCAGAGTGTGGGAATGACCTGCAACGAGTACAAAACATGCTGATAATACTCTAACCCATAATGTCCTAATAAAAGTGGTGCTATAATTAACATATTAAAGCACATGTGGACACCCTTACCAAGCTCCACTTCATGCGTCTCAATGCCACGGGGCCTATCAACCCTGGGAGGGTCACTTGGTGGTTCAGCTGTTTGGGAAATAAAGTCACACATTTCTGTATTATCATCTATCTTACTGTGGTCTGAGAAACACTGTATAAATAAGATCTGAGCCAAACGTCTGAAAAAAACAACCTTTACATGTGTTAAAAGGTATTAAGAAGCTCCACAAAACGTACAATTCTTAAATGAAAACGTGTAATTCTGCACAGTGTGGCAAGGCTTACAGCAACCACATAAAAAGATAGCCACCTGCTGTGGAGGAAGCCTTGGTGGTTTTGTCAGCAGCCAGACAAAAACAATTAGAGGGTGAGTGTTCAAAGTTAAAGTCAACTATTTTAACGGGAAACTACAGCAATGGCAGTAACATCCCAGAATACACTGAATTTGAAAGAGACATCCCTTTAGTACGTTTTTCTGTAAAGGCTTTTTGCATTTTCATTTTTCTATGCATGTTACACAAACATACAAACATGAAACACATGATGTGTGTTATGATAATGCATCAAGAAAGCAGATTAAGAAAGGCCTCATCTCATATGTGGATCATCATCCAATATCGACACGTCTCATTCACAAAACAGAAAATGTCAACCTAATGGTGGCACTGGAGTAAATGTCACTCATCAAAGTCATTAAAATACATAATCTGGCAGCTATAAGTGTTAACTTTGTCTATAGGGGGTGTATAAAAATGACTATTTCTCACACACACACAACACACACACACACACCACACAAACACACTTACGTGCAGCTGTGACATTAAACAGCTCTCCTGAGGGTCCATGTGAGTCCTTGATCAATTATCTTTCTGTTGCAGAAAAACACACTAGTGTCCTCTTTGTAGACTTGACAGAGATGTAACCGCCCAGTCTCGTCCACACAGGAGTCTCGGCCTTGCCAAGAAGACACTGGTGTATACATCTGTGAAAAAAACAAACCTGTTGTTGAGTTTTTCACTTTGATTGATATGTTTCATAGTGAAATGGATAATCCGGTTATGTGTGTGCTGCACCTTGTACCAGATGACCTCTGTGTTGTTACTACTGTTGAGACCTGGGCAGGCACCTTCCCACCTTTAATCCCGCTCCAGCACTACACTGCTCTCCTCCGCCGTGGAGCATCCCACACTGGATCTCGCCACCTACGTGCAGGTAAAGGAAAAAACTTGCTGCCACTTGAACAGCAAGAACCTGAACGCTATTACAAGTTCAATCATGTGGTCACACACTCACACTCAAAAGTTACTGTTGTTAACCCTTTATAGGCACTATGAGATGAACCCTAACCCGTTTCAGACCTCTGCTGATTGGTCAAATTCCCCAATGGCGTAGAGTGATCTTCGCTGATTGGCTGGGAGAAAACCACATGCTTCTCGACCTCACTGAGTCGCTGGGGGGGACGCCATGTTTGGTGTGCGGAAGTTAACCCAAATATGGTTCCTCGCCCGATAAAGGGTTAAGTGGCTTTTCCCAAAACATTTTTAAAAGGCTTTACAAATATTAATTGAATAAACATAATAAAGACAGTTGATTTAAGAGTTGATAAATACAAGAGGAAAACTAATCTGATGCATTATTCACAAGAAATAGTGTTTGAAATGCATCTGAAAGCATTCACTATTTGGGTCAAATGTACAGTTGTTGTTCAGTTTTAATTGCCTTTCATTCAACAGAACAGGAAATATCCATAGAATATGTAACCTTAGTCAGGGGGTCGTCAGTTTACTACATAATAGAAAAATGGGTCACTTGAAGAAACCTAAATTCTACATTATTTTCTCCAATGCAATATCACAAAAGAAATAAGCTATTTTAAGAATTGATTACACAACTTGTTTTGAAGACATTAATACCAGGTGCATTTGTTATAAAAGAAAAATGTATCGGACATATTTAGGGATAAAGACATGATCATTTACCTCGAGTACTTTCCAGAATGTTTTGCTTCCACTGTGAAACAGCGTTTCACACGGGATGCCATGATTTCCTTCATCTCCTTCTCCAGTCCTGGACCACACCTTCTGCTTGTGCTGGTTCAAAGACTGTATGCACGGCATCCAGAAGATCTCCCCCTCCACAGCTCTGTAGTGCTGCTGTGGCTGAACCCCTGGAGGAGTTGTTTTTAAATGATAGTCAAAAAGGGGCTGGGACGCCGTTCACAAATACATGCTTTCCTTTTAAACACACATGTGAAGGTTGTCAGCTGATATATTGAACGACAATTCAAGTTTAATGAAATACCTGTTATTTTCACTTGATGGTTTTTCGGACAGCATCCTTCCAAGAAAATGGGAAGGCTCAAAAGCCCAAGAATGTATCCAGTTTGCATTCTGTGTCTCTAAATATTTATAACGATATCGGTGCTCTTAACATTTCGGAAAAAAATTCTGTGTATTACTTCATCTCGGGTTCTTGGTATTTCATCAATGTCATTGCTTGAAATCTTCCGGTCTCTTGTGCGGCAACATGAGGTGTGATATTTTCACAGTGCGTGTAGATAAGGTGATTTCCTGTTTGTTTATGTTTTAAAAGGGTTTAACTAGAATCGGCTCTGATGTTGTCTTCCTGTAAATAGTAAACACTTCCTATCTGGGTAAACTAAGTAAGAGTTGTTATTTCTTAGTCATAGTTTACTCTGTTTGCAACCGTTTACGTGTATAGTGTCATAATATTTATAGGGATTTTGAGCATAATAAAAATACAAATAAATAGTAGATAGCAATTCTGATAGGAGACAAAAGGCAGATTAGACACTGCCTTGAAGAAGACATGATACATTTTGATGTTATACAATTAAGGTACCAAAAATAAAGGGAAACACAAAGTAAATTAAGAAGGGAAAATCGGTTACCTCTTTGAAAAATAAAACAGTTATTTTATTAACGCTGTGAAAGCAAAACATCAGCTGTAACAAAAATACTTAAGTTATAGAACCAGAGGTCTATAGGCTGGTAACAAGAAGCATCATACTGTACATTACTTCAACAATACAAGATTTTAAAAGGAAATATAGAAGCGAAGGAGTCTCTAAAAATGACAACGTGAACGGAACAACTTTTAGTTGGCCGGCTGTAAGCGGTCGAGTTTGACAGCTCCGCACCGGGGGAGAGGCCTGCCATTGCGGAGCCGAGGCTTCAACAACGGCCACAGCCGCCGGCGCCACCTGCACTAGCGAACCTGACGATGCCCATGACCTGCCTTTTAACTGGACACAGAAAAGATGGAGTGAGTGGAATGAAAGGTATCCATGGCTTTTCATAAATAAATAAAAAATAGCAGTGTCAACAGAGCATGCGTGTGACATATTTAGTAGCAGGATGTGCACTGAAAAATAGGGCTCCCCCGAAAGCAAATGGGTAATTCGAACACTGCTCACAGCGTTATAAAACCTTTTTCTTACTCAATATCAAGCCACCCTTATTGTTTTTACTTCGGCTGTGAGTGTTTGTGTGTGCTCAGGATGAATTTAGCTTGTTCTCGCTGTATCGCCGAGAGGCTCGTTGCTGCGATCTGCTGCGAGGAGCGGACAGGCTTCCGCTCCTCGCAGCAGATCGCAGCAACGAGCCTCTCAATGTCCCGACCAATCAGAGCACACTGGGCTCACAGGGAGGGGGGGGCTGGAGCTCGAAACAAGCCGTTTAGGACAGAGAGTGAATACCGGTGAATACACATTACAGAGATGCTGTATGAGAAACCAATGTGAGTTTGGAAAATTGCACAGTATAAATCCATTTAGTAGACCTCAATAATTGAATTATGATCAGTAGAAATGGCCATGACATGGGACCTTTAAGATGAAAGTGAATCATATGAACATGCATTATATCTATCCGTCTTCTTACATACGTTTTGGCACAAGCTGATGGTGACGTTTGTTGGGGCCTCCAGTATCAGTTTGCAGTTTACAGGTGTAATTTTTTAATAGATCCTCATCTGACAATTCTTTGAAAACTAGGGATGCCATCTTTATCCCGTCAGCATTTATTTCACTGGAAAATAAAAGGAAAGTACAGGTGTTAGCCATGATTGGTGTGTGTAAATATCTGGCTATGAACTGTATAACATTTGAACTTGCCGGTATATTTACTTTGTGTAATTGTAGAAAACGGGAAAGCTGCTGTTAGTTTCCACAAATGAATCAGTGCTAAACCAGAACACCTCATCAAAGTCCGAATACATGAGAGCTTTACAATCAATCACCTTTGGAGAGCCTAGAAAAAAACAGAGTTTATACAGTTCCATAATTTGTTCATTTAGTAAGAGGGTAAATGTGTGCATTCATCCATGTGTGTGTATCCACGCTTCAAGATTTATGCTCATCCAAATGTACATGAATCACACCACTTTGTGGCGATATGATCACTGGATTTTTTTTAGGTTTTTCTGTGTGAAGAAAGGGTGGAAACATTTTACATCTGTTTTCTTCAAAATATAAAAGTAAACATATGGTGTAAGTGTTTTTCTTACCCTTTGGTTGGATATCAAGCACCACTGTAAAGGTCATGTTATATATTTGTCCACAATACAGGTAAGATCTGGTACAGGTGTAGACACCATGCTCCTTCTCTTCAACACTTAAGAAGTAACTGGCTTTTGGCGTTGACTCGCCTTCCTACAAGGAAAATGAAGTTGTAATTTAAAAAGAAAATGAATGAAAACGAGCCTTAAATATAGAAAATGCATTACATTTCAAATTAAAATAGAATAATAATTAGATTGGTTCATAACATGGGCTAAAACATTCTTTCAGAACAATGACCACCCGACCAAAGTGTGGAAATAATGATTGTGCTTATACCTTGTGCCAAATGTCATTGTTGCTGGTAATATTCAGGGTGGTAGCAGCAGGTGCTGCTAGGTTACATTAGGACAATTCAATGTGCAGGCCTCCCGTGTATAACATGGTTGAGGCAGTGCTTGAATTGGAATGAAAAAGGTGCCAGTACTCTAAAATCAGCAACTTTTTCAAGTCAATTTTATATATACAGCCCACAAACAAGAATTTGGCTACTATAATGCTGGTGGGTTTGTCTCTTTACTACTGTATATTTTAGAAAGGTTCACTGTACTTAACATTTTTTATGATAGGCAGCGGATATGGCTAAAGCTCAGTAAGGTCAATATTAACTGAAAATATAGCAATCAAAGTCTAGATCTTCTGCTGAAGACACATGAAGCAGAGACCTTTCAGGTGAGAGCCCCTCTGGTGGTGTTCAACATTAATGACAAGGAAACAAAGCTCTGGTCAGAAGCATTTTTTATAAAAAGCTTTAACAAAATTAAGTATTTCTGTACATTTTGAATGCAATCTAACTTTCCAACTCAGAAAACGAAAAACGAAAAAGTGCCAAAAGTCTTCTCACATGGCTGAGCTGCTTTGCAATATACTTCACCACTGAAGAATACAAATATGTATAAAGTAAACTATGATGCAATCTAACTTTCCAACTCAGAAAAATGATAAAGAGCATGAACAAAGAACATGTAAAAACAAATGCAAAATGTGCACAATCTAAAATGAGAAACTGTAACTGCAAGTAACAAAGTCTGAGCCATGGTAAAGAGTTACATTGAACACCAAGCTGATCAGATAACTCCCTGGTTGGTCTGAAGTCCTTCTATCTCCAGGATCTGTACAAATCGGCACATTATGCCAAAAGTCTTCTCACTGGGTGAGCTGCTTTGCAATATACTTCACATTGTTAGAAAAGGCTCCAGAAGGCCTTGGGGACATCAGTATCAGGGGCTGGAGCTGGACAGGCTCTTTCATCAGCACTTCTCCTTCTCTTTGCCAGCCAGGACCTCACATACTGTTCCGGATTGAACTGTCCTAGTGATGGTCCATTACATTTAATGAAAACCAGGCTGGACAGTCGGCTGACAGAGAGAGCATTCCTTTTTGCAGTAAGGATATCGTTCAGGCAGCTGAATGCCCGCTCACACTCACTAGTGGAGACAGCGATGGTTTCGGACTGCTTTCAGTAGAGGCTCCATGGCAGCAGGTGTAACGGGATGCCCTGGTTTCCTTGTATTCGCGAAAGCCCTGAACAGTCTCTCTTCTGTCCACTTTCAGCACTTCGCACAAACGTAGCACCTCTACGTCCCCATACTGTACGTCTAACTCCTCTTCAGGCCAACTTCCAGGATGGATAACTTTCATGTCCTGGATTAGCTGATTGTCCCGGGCCTCCCGGCCATGTAATGGGATTTCTCTTGTGCTGACATGAGAGGAGGTTGTGGAAGTCATTCTGTGTCTCAGATTCTCTACCATACTGCGGAAAAACTGACCTGCATGAATCTGTACAAGCCTGCCATTCTCACGCAGGGCAACACCCTTGAAGGACTTCTCAGCTAGAGCTGTATGAACTGTAATCATGTGTGGGCCAGGCATGGTGACCATGGATTCAAAAACTTCGTATTTCTCGAGTTAAGAGCCTATCTGCTGTAGGCAGTGTCATCTCTCTTTTTTGGAGTTGCCGAGAGAGGTCGCTGAGCTCTGTGAGCGCATCGTACATCAGTCCCAGATTGCTGACAAACGTTGCAGATGTGAGCACATCATCCAGGCCCTTGTACTTTGCTCTGTCTCTGGAATCCCTGCTTGTGTCGTTTGCAGCATTTGTGAAGTGATCATGGAAGCACTCGGTAGTTTTCCCAGACTGCTCTGACGCTCCTTTCACTTGAAGCCACCCAGCGGATGGACAAAACACGCCCTATCACCAGGAGACGCTGTCCGACTGCTTGCGCACACTGCGCTAACTGCCTCTGATTTTTGGGGGAGGCATGGAACAAGGAATAGAGTTTGTCAAAAAAGATCTGGAAATGATTGAGCCCTGAGACCCTCCTTGACCACATCCCCAACTGCCAGCTCTAGACGATGATTGGAGCAGTGCCACACAAACAGGCTTGGGAATTTACTACACAACTGGGTAGCAACGCCTGTTCTCTTCCCTAGCATGACTGAAGCCCCATCACATGCAAAAGAAACGAAACACTGACCTAAAAAGTCCTCGTTAAAATATCTTCCAAGACACTCCATTAACGCCTTTGTGATGTCATCAGCCGTTGTTCCATCCAACTCGATCAGCTCCCAAAAAAACGTTTCGGGCTCAGCATCAGCTAATGCTGAGCGTAGACACACAACAAGCACCGTTTTACCACTAATAGTGGTAGATTCATCGACCAAAAACACAGAGTTTTCTTTGGTTTTCTGTAATGTCTTTTGCCATTTTTTTCTTCAGCTCATGACCTATGTGGTCGATGATTTCGCCACAGGTTTTATTGGAGTGCAAAACCCTGCCCACGTTCAGCCCATTCAGTTTCTGTACATTCAAATCAATTGGCATGTCTGTGAATGGCCGGCTATGTTTGCCAATTTTATATGCCGTTCGAAAAACTCTGATAGTGGTGTCTAATTCAGATTTATGCATAGACTGCACTTGATGTTGAATAGTTTTACGTGAAGCAGATGTAAGGATGTCAGCAGCTTTTACATGGGCTTGTGATTCTTTATGTTCTTTGATTTTTTTTATCAGGCTAGCTTGTTGTTTGCCCTTGTCAACACCGAAATGAGACACTGCACACTCACCCCATTCAGTTGACAGTTTCAGTCCTTGTCCAGTGTGTATTCCCAAAGATTTGACATCTCTGCATATCCGACATCCTAG